ATATATATATATATATTATATTTACCTCTGACATTGCACAGAGCTAAGTAATTATGCAATAAAGGTGATACAAATAGATATTTCAATCAATGGGCGTTAATTAAAAAAAAAATAACAATGTAACCTTGAAGCATATGTAATGAGTGTCACTCTCAGTACATAAACATGATATAGTATATAGAGTGCATTTATATGAACTGCAGGATTAATATAGACCAGAAATGAGACCATGTTATAAGCATCCATTTTGTCTTACCATATATTGATCTAGATATTGTTCATAACTATGCCTTCACTAGTTACCTTGTAAGCACACCGCTATAACAAACATCCACTTGTTTCTAGCACCAATCGAGAGAAAGAGTAGGACACAACATGACACGAACCCAGCAACACCTCCCAACCTCCTCATACCAAATCTTCTAAGTAGTGCACTTCCAGTGGGACCTATTTGGAAACAATACACAGTGTTTGACATTTGACATTTCTGTTCCTTTATACACCCATGTCAACTACAGAAGAACTCCTCCTTTGGGACACCACTTTTCAGGGGATACCCCTATTAAGGGGACACATTTTTCATGAAACGGGGGAAAAACATATATTTAACACTACGGAAAACCCCTAAAAAAAATTTAAAAAAAAACTATTAGTGGACGGTGACACTTTCTGAGTGTGCCAATTGGTCCAATCAATACATTTTAAGCCATATTAAGGGTACACTTTTTCTTACATTAGACTCAGATATGAAAAATTCATTCAAATTTATATTTTGAAACCTTTTGTGCATGTCCTACTTAATATAAATACAATCTTGTCACTTTTGACCAAACCATGGTCATTCTTGTTTTATGTAGTTTCATATAGAATTTTGAATCTATTCCAAATAACCTGCATCCTGATTTATATTACTCTACTCATGCTATTCTATCTTGTGCATCCGATAGAAAGCTGTGTATTTCAAAAACAAAAATATTTTGTCATTAAAATTGTACTCAAATCATGACACAATATTTGAGAACATATACAACATTTTTTGTTTTAATTACATTGCTGTTGCTTCATATCCTTAATTGTTTTTGCATAGAAAATTCTTGTTATTAATTAGTTCAATTCAACTGTAACTCATTCTTAGGTCAGTTATTAATAAAATTATAAATAAATAAATGTAATAATTAAATACATAAATAAATGTAATCATTGTATAGGAAACATGCCAAAACCATATTAAGGGAATAATTTCGCGTTTTTGATCAGTTTCCCCAGAATAGAGGTGTTCCCTTCAAGGGACACCACTATTAAGGGATAGAGGTGTTCCCTTCAAGGGACACCACTATTAAGGGATAGAGGTGTTCCCTTCAAGGGACACCACTATTAAGGGATAGAGGTGTTCCCTTCAGGGGACACCACTATTAAGGGGAAACTTTCTTTTTTGGTCCCAAATGTGTATCATATGATCAACGAAAGATAATTCCATGCAACTAAACGGGCCCCTGCTCTAGATTGCAGTCACAGCATCCCAAAATGAATTAAAAAAAATATGTTTTTATTTTAGTACATATGGGAATAACTTCCATTTATTATAATTCCTCATCAACCACAAAAAATTAGTACAATTTATATTACTTGCTTTTGGTTTAAAGTACTTACCAATTCCTGCCATTACTGCCAGTTGAATTGCTCCCCAGAAAGACACGAACCCCTCGCTACAATTCATCTCGTAAGCAACTGGTTTAGTAATAATTCCTATGATGATATAGGTTAACCCAATAGCAATGGAATTCACGATTCCGCTAATCAAACAAAATATCTTAGAACGAGTAGTTCTATCATACTTATACCAAAATTTAAACGCCATTTTATAGACAACAGGAACAGAGTACAGGCTATTGACGGCAAAGACCAGGTCAGTATTTCAAAGTGTTCTTTTGTTAAATGAATCCTCTTGTAAAATTAATCCCACTGTTATGACTTCTTTTGTTAACTTTCGCATTCCGAAAATATCTCGGCGGTAATCAATTATGACATGTAGGCCTACCATCATTGGTATTTCTTCTTTTACTCATATTTTATTTACTTCTACAGATGCTATTTGGTACTACACTAACAGTGGAAAAACACATTGTATCCAGTGGCGTAGAAAAATATTTTTTATTGGGGGGATGATTGGCGTGCTGTCTCTTATACACATCTGGCATAGGAGGGAAAGCACAAGCATTAACCTTAACAAATGCGTGCAAAGCGTGCAAAAAATTTTTGTGTTTTTAATTCTAATTTCGTTGGAATTGATCAAAACCCCTAAAATGTGCAATTTTTAGAGAAAATTGGCCTACCTCAACAAGAAATGCGCTTATGTTTTATATGGCCACACTCGTTTTTTTTAAACTGACTATAAGCATTTTCATTATGGCTTTATTTATTACAAACATATTCTTTAACCATCATTACACATTGCGGCCCTTCTTTTAGGTAAAACGATCCATCTAAAATTTTCTTTCTTGAGTTTGGGACTTTTATGTGTTTAAATAACTTAGAAGGCTAACCCTGAAGTCATGAAAAATGCGCGCAAAACGCGCAAAAAAATTGTGTTTTTAATTCTAATTTCGTCGGAATTGATCAAAACTCCCTAAAATGTGCAATTTTTAGAGGAAATTGGCCTACTTTAACAAGAAATGCGCGCGAAG